GGTAATTTGAGTTCCTAATTTATACGAAACTAAAGACTTTGACATCACAAACATCTAATTTGAATCAGTCCTGCATTCAACGTACCACATAAATCAATGTTTAACTGTGTATTTTTAATATTTACTTTTAAATTAAGAAATTCAGTAAGTAATGATACTAAAATTTGAATTATGATCTACAGTTTAGTATCAAACCTATTGACATAAATTCATGAAATAGTGGTTCAATAAAACTTTGAATGTAAGTCAACAAACGCGATGACATGGCCTTTTACCCATGGCCTGCCTGGAAAGGGTTAAAAAGGTTAATGGTGTTGCACTCTTGGTTTTACTCAGAGCCAAAGCTTTAAGCTACTTATACCATCCACGACGAAAAGTAATTGTTGAGCATTTCAATCACGCTAGGAGTCACTCAACAATAACATATGTTAAATTTACATTTTTATTCTTTAAGTTACATCACATTTTGAAATATGAATGATAATGTGTTTCATTCCTAACAATTTAGTGTAGAATATCCTGCTTGTAAAGTTAAATTTTGGCATCAATATTATTCATGCCTGTTCTCCTGTCATTTGAAAAATGAATGTTGAGCTTTGCCTGTGTGTGTAGCTCTTTAAATGCAGTGCAGGAAGTGGCTCTGTAAACAGGAGACAGACAAATGCTCGGACAAACACCAAGGTTTACAATATGTATAAGATAGCAGCCTTAAAATTATTAGCAAGTATAAACCTGCCCCCACCATGCATAAAGCTGAAGGGCTGATACTCTACACTAGCTCCCTGCTTCCTCTACCCATGAATAGTATTACAATAATTTCAGTGCATTAATATTGTTACGACAGTGGGGGTTATGTGATGAATATTCTAGAAGATTTGCTAGTGTGTTACGACAGCGGGGTCACATGACGAGTATTCCAGAAGATTCGCTAGTGTGTTATGACAGCGGAAGTCAAGTGACGCTGGTAGCACGTGTTGAGAGTCTTAGAAGTTTCTAGAACAGGCAGTATTATCGTATATAAGTGCGCTAGACAGTGAGAGAGAGGGACGTAGAAGAGACGAAGCAGGCAGAGAGAAAGAAAGACAGCGATTATGGTCGGTGGGATCTGAGGATAGGAGACACAGAGATCAGAACTATAGTTGGCGGGGACAGATAATTAGGTCTAAGCGCGGTAGAAAGTGAGTGAATTGTTGTGAACTATAGTGTGTGTAACTGTGAAAATTAAGAGTATTACCAAGTTGTATTGAGGAAGAATAAAGAAGTTTTATAAAGAAAGGACTTGTATCTTATAAGAATTAACAAACAAACATACAGAGATGTAACAATATATAATGTTATAACCATATCTTCCAACCTAACAAGTGAGCGCGTCCCTGTAATATTCTTAGGTCAGTTTTATTATACGCATAACATAGTAACTTCAAAATTTTTTACATCTAAATCATTAACCATTCTTTTTTCTCTATAGAAAATAATCACTTCTATTTTTTTCTGATATTCTATTTATAAATGATTTTGAAACTGATGTTCTGATGTTTATAACTGCTAAATCAGTTCTTTTTTTTATGGATAAAGAGTTACAAACCTTTCTGCATGTTTCATCAAAAGTTATGGCTACTGTATCAGGATACTTGGCACCAGCTGGATGAGAGTTTATACGACTATATAAAAATACAAGGGCTAATGTAATTGTCCAAACTAATACATTACTATGCTTCATCAACACTTAAAATAACATTTGGCAACACATCAGTATATGATCTTTTTCTTGTATGATTAGTTGTTTCACCGTGCATTTGAAGACCTCATAACTATGAACAGTATCTGTGTAAGATCCAATAACTTTAGTCTATTTAAATAATTATTCTGTGGTCTATTATGTTACATAACAAGCTAACAATGACTTTAAAATATAAGCAGTTTAAGCTACATTGTTTTCTACTAATTACATTATAAAAAACTAACAATAGTCTGGGATTTTAAGCAGTGCTAATAAAAAATGAGAAGTACCAATCATGTTACATACTTCTAATTAATGTTTGAAAACTACAAACCAAAAAATAAACAAAGAATATCCACATTTTAAAGACAATTTATATAGTTATCAAACATTACAACACTAATAATGATTTGGATATGAATAGTTTTATTTCTTTTAATCAGTAAAAGAAAGATCATCTTCTTTTTAATATCAAATAAACCATGTGTGAGTGAAAAACTAATTCTCCCCAAGTTTTAATTTTACAACACAAAATAATTAAACATCTACATTTACATGTTGTAAGAATTGTAAACTTTTAGTCGTTGAAAAAAATTATTTATACATCCACTTTAAAACAGCATAATAATAAGCACTGCTACAGCAATAATTATATACATTAAAATGCTTTTTACTTGCATGCTACTGAATAAGTATTATAGTATTATATACTAATCATAATTTACACAAGAATATCTTAAAGTTATTAAGAAATTGTGTTAAACACAAGGTTTCACCTAAGACTTTCAAAGCTCCCCTCAACAACCCCTCATTAGCAAGGAATTTACACTCTAATCACATCACTCTTCATGAATTTAACATTTTATATACAGTCAACTAACAAAGATGCAGGTGAAGCTCGACCTTGGATTTGTTTATATTGCTAACAGTTTGCAGGAAACACCCCAACTATGTGAACAAAAGGAAAGGAACTACACTTACTGATGTTTCATACTATCTAAATAATATCCTGCAGATAATAAAATTATACTGCTACCATCAACCAGAAAGAAAAAAAAACATTCTTAGTAACTTAGCAGGTTCTACTATTATAAACAAATTTGTTATGCAAAGATAAACTACTATGAAAATTCAGTTTTAATTTTGGTGTAAGTATGAAAATGATTAATTTAGGTTATTAAGGTAAGATTCTGCCAATGCCAGATTTAGTTACTATGTAAAGACAATCACTATTAGTTAAATTATTAAATTAATACGAACTACTGCAAAGATCACTGCGTAAAGATGAATACTACAAGTTCACATAAACTACTGTCAAGATCATCTTTTAATTACTGTATAAACACAACTTTTATTAAGTTAAATTACTGAAACAATAACAATTCTTAGGTACTGTTTAAAAAAATTAAAAGTTAAACAGTTGAGTTAAATTATTAAATTAAGACAAATTATTATTATGGTCAGATTTAACTGTGAGTAAAGATGAACAAAAATAACACACTAATGTCCAAAAAACAGATATAATTACCATGTAAAGATGAAAGTTATAATGTTAAAAAATCTCTATGAAGACCTGATTCAAACACTGAAAAGATAAACAACCACTCAGAAAATAAAATCGCTAAATTCATCAGTTAAGCAATAAATCATCCAATTTATGGACAAATTAAGAGACTTCAGAAGTATGTTGTGAAGGTTATCATAAAGTTATGACTGCCTGGGGATTATTCAACATCACAGCTCTATAACAACATCTATTTTTAAGTTCTGTAATATTTAATATAAATAAAACCCAAACTTTACCTTCCCATGACACCTTTGGCAACATCAACACCTAGATAGTGTGGTTTAGGTAGTGTTGAGATAAACTGAAGATTGAAGGGGCTAAAACATCTGACAATCCCTTCTGCACATCCAATGAAAATATATTCTTCACATACACATATACAATTGGCACTGGTAGTCTGAAAATCAAGCATGTCATATCAGCAGGTGTTTGTGCAAAATTTATGAACACACACACATATAAACTTGGGTTAAAAAACATAAAACATTAAGTTGCCTCCTTTTCAGAAGCACTTTATCTAATTCTACATATGAGGTTTAGAAAACAGGAAAGGTGGTGAAAAGCAGCTGGAGCTGAACTACAAAGTAACAGTTTAAATTTCATGATATACATCTGATATATATAAATATATATATATTATTTTCACACATATGCTACATAGTTATGGAGCACATTCACCTTTAATTACACTCATTTCTGCCCATTCACATTATAAAAACTTACAACCTTAATTATACTTACTTCTTCACAGTTGCATTATCAAAATTCACATCCTTAGTTCTACTCACTCCTCTACAGTCACATTATAAAAACTCACAACCTTAATTATACTTACTTCTTCACAGTTGCATTATCAAAATTCACATCCTTAGTTCTACTCACTCCTCTACAGTTGTATTATAAAAATATGAAACCTTAATTTTACTCACTTCTTCAATCTCATTATCAAGACACACTTATCTTTAGTTCCACAGACTTCTCTATAGTATAATTACCAAACACACACACACACATAAACTTAATTCTACTCATTCCTCCACAATCACAATTATTCAAAAATATTCTCTTCTATCTTTCTTATATTTCTAATAATTGCTATTATAAAATAATAATTCTTCTTTTCCAAAAATATTTCTTCCAATTGCTATTAACCAAAAAGAGCTTACACTTACCATTAGCTTCACCCATATATCTACCAATCAATACATTTCATCTACTTCCATACAATTAACTATGAATAAATATTTTGCAACAATCATCTGTAGTTCTACTCATTTCTCTAAAAGCCAAGATTATAAACAGCCAGCACTTACCTTTATCTTCACCAATATTTCCTAACATTTACATCAAGTAACTAATACATAGCTTCATCTCCTCCTATATAAGTCAACGCTGTTAAATAACCAGGTTACTCTTTAACACATCCATTTGTCTATTAATCAATGACTATCAAACAGCTGTTAACTCAACTCACTTGGTTACTAATTAATATATCCAAATAACTAACACTACATGCATTAAATCCACTAATTTTTCTAATGCTCAAACAAGCATATAGTTAACCTTGAGTTTTTATTCTAATAACTGGCTCCTTAACTAATATTTATAAACAGCTCAGATTGTCAGATGCATTCATTTTTCTGACAGCTACCGCTATTAGACCATTTATTTTACTAACATTCAACTTATCAAATAATGAACACTTGCCTTTAGCTTACCAACTTGTCTAATAATAAACATAAAAAAACAGCTAACAACTATCAGATGTACCCATTATCCTCAAAGTCAACTTATTCAGTAGCCAACACTCACTCTTAGCTCAACCCACTTCTCCAACAAACGACGACTATTAAAGACACACAAGAGGCCTGATTTAGTTATAGCATAGGTATTGTCTGCCATATCTCCTCGACCACATGCCACGTCACAAAAGTAGTTATTCCTCTGGTCACCTAATATTGCTGATCTCCCCATCAGAGGAACTGGTTCCATTTTGTACTACAAAAACAGGAGAAAGTGATATTAAATCACAATGTTTTGAATAATAAAATATAGCAATTATAGCATTTTGTGTGGAATTACCAATGTATTCTAAAACAGTCTATGACTTAAATATCAGGTATTTGTCAGCAATTTCTAGATTTCAAAATATTAATGATGGAGTAGAAATAACATGTTTGTTACAGTGAGGCTTGTTTAATTATCATAATCAGGAAAATGTAGCTTCACATACATATTCCACATTGTGCAAGTAGACTTATGTACATATTCTATGATTTATATGGAAACTGACATAAAGTTATAATTTTCCTACACTGAAAATGTATATCTGATAGGTATTACCGCTTCTCACATAAATAGCTATTCTTGTTCAGTGCTGCCCTCTATATGCAAACAAATTTTTTTACCCGTGCCGCAAGCCTTCTACCTCCCCTCCATTGGGATGGACTGCTTCCAATGTGTGTCTCATGCAAATCACCATGCATCAACCATTCACCAATAAGAGTGTGACATACTCTCATGATGCATTGACTCCATCTACTCAATTCTACAAAACTAGCACTTCAAGTTTTGGCAGAAGATGGAAGCACTGGTTTTCAGAGGGGAGGAAGGGTGGGAAGTGTGAGAGAAGGTAAGTACCTATTGGAAATACATTTTCAGTGTAGGAAAATTATAACTTATGATACAGTACATTACTTCTGCTCACATAAATAGTTAGAATACCACATTGAATAGGTGGAGGGATCAGTGTAAGGCAAAGAAAGAGAAACCATTCGAAAGGGTCTGAAGGACACTCCCTAAGACGAGATAGTTAGATTCTAAGATCTGATGTGGGGAACCACACCACTTCTGAACCAGGTATATAATCTTCGGTACTGTTGGCAACATTCCCATCAACATTGAATAATATAATGAGATGAGAAATCCCTGGAAGGGGAACAGAGATGGGTAGATAAGAACCAGGACAGAAAGGGAACAGGAGAGTGTCATGGCTCCAACTGTGACAAACATGCAACCAAAGAGGAAAGAGTTGAGTGTTGATGCACAGATTACACTCGGGGTTCCAAAGTCTCAGATACATGATTGCAAACATCACAAAAGAAAAAAATACAGAAATCCTGAAAAGAAAGAGGCAGCAAACATACTTGGGACAAGGTTGCATTGCAACCCAGAAAATCCCAATTACAGTGAAACCACGTGTGTAAAGCAAGAGCCAAAGATGACAAACTAACCAACATGGAGGTAGTAAGGAACCATAGAAAAACAGGGAATTCGATAAAACATAACATACTTGAGAAATCATGTCGAAAAATGCCGTATTAGGTCTAGCTGATTCAGCAGGAGGGGGTATGAAAAAGCATGGCAAAATCCAGTGGTGTAAAATGACTACTGAATTTCATTGGCCTGAACAGGTTTGGCTTGTTCAGAAGGATTAGTGGGGTAAGTTCAGAAGAAGAAGAAGAAGGTTGACCCATGTCACGATGGATAATAGAAGAGAAATCCAATGACGGGTCACCTGCAGCCTGTGAAAATAGTGCTAGAGGTATAATACCTGAAGTGGGAACATGAACCTCAGAATTCATTGAAGAAAAATGTAAATTAAACAAAAGTGTTTGATGTAAAATATGCGAGTATGAGAACAAAACTTGAGAAATTAAGTTAAATTAAAAGATTTCTTCAATGTAAAGAAAAAATAATAATGAAGAAATCCCACTTCGGAAATTAAACTATTAAAATCACGATTGATTGATTTGCATGAGAGATGCATTGGAATCAGTCAATTCCAATGGAGGGGAGATAGAAGGCTTGTGGCATGTGTAAAAAACGTTTTTGCACACAGAGGACAGCAGTGAACGAAAATAGCTATTTATGTGAGAAGAGGTAATGTGCTGTATCCGAATATTTTCTAATTTACATTTAACTTTATGAACATTTTTTATAGACTGATGTGGATATTCTTTAATCTACATGTAGGCTGATGCAGTCTATAAATAGATTTATTTATACATTTGATAATTTAAATTCAAAAGTTAACATCTTTCTTACACTTAAAATGTACTATAAGTACTTACCTCTACTCACACAAAACTCTCTCTCTTTTCTTTCTGCCCTCTAAGTATTGCTAAACAATTTTCGTGCTCAGTGCACCAGTCTATATCTCCATTTTGTGCCATTTTTAAACATATACATATAATATGACTATTCTCCACCAATAGTATTATATCACCTATAATGGCACAGCTAACTCCTGCTGTGCCTGATCAATCCTTACTTTTGAGAATTGGCAGGCTCTAAAAGAAAAATACAGGCAGTGGTGAGGAAGGATGAGAAGTATTTATCAGAAATACATTTTCAGTGTAAGAATAATGTTAACTTCCAATACAGTCTTACCACCTGTCACACAAAGCTAGGATTCCAAGTAGGATTCTTGAACAAGTATGCTCTTTGCCCTTGAAGTAGGGAATGAATCTGATATGGGCAGAAAAAGAGATGAGCACAAGTGCAATTTGTTTTGAGAGGTGCAATCCATAGTAAAATATAAACCGAATTAGCTATGTACATACAGAACCTCAACCAGACAGACAAGGTTCCATAACTCTTTTGGCATTAGGAGGTTGAAGATCAAAAATGATAAAACAAATATATTGTAACATAAATATAGTGGCTAGGTCATGTGGACTGTGTTACATATAGCCATCAACCCCAACCATAAGTAAACAGTGTCAGACTTCAAGCAATTAGAATTATGAACAGGAAGTTAGCTTGCGGCAACAACTGGACAATCTCCCAAAACCACTGTAGGAGCAAGAAGTACAACAAACCGAACCCAGCATAATGGGGTCGTAGTGTTACATCAACTCAACTGTAAGAACAGGGTACTACATGTAACTGGTATTACGAGCAGAAATCATAAATCAATCAACCATAAATGCAGGGTAGAAACACCCCACATCTGGAATTATGAGGAGGCCCTGGAACATTCACTTAACCCTAGGAAGAAGTGTACATATGTCCTATTGCCAGCATTATGAAGCAGACAGAATCCTCCAAACTCAACCATAAGAGCAGGAAAAGACCCTCCTGCAATTGGAATTAACAAGAGGAAAAGCCTCTACTGCACACAACTGTAGGAATAGGGCAGTGTCATCCCAAACCTTGTATAACTAGAAGGATCATGCATAGGTTGTATCTGCTCCAACCCACAGCTGTCCACCTGGGAAAAAAAATATCAGAGGAAAGGAGAGAAACCAGCTTTACCTACTTCTCACTGAGTGTACAATTATGAGTATGTATGGTAAATCAAACATTTAAACTCAATCATGAGAAAGTTCCATGGTCCTTCACCCCAGCGACTGGAAAATGGCAAGAACTCACATACTCCACTGGAAGAAAAAGGAGGAAGTAATTGCAGTGATGAGTCTAGAGGAATGTCATACTGGAGAAAGTACAATGGGTGTCCGTGATTCCCTACTTTGAAAAGCAAACTGACCTCAATCTATTCAATCAAAGGGTCGGCAGGAATGGGCAGAAAACCCTTTCTGTTTTACTCATGAAGTCCATGAGTGATGGTCCACTAATGAGTATGTGTGTGTGTGTGTGTGTGTGTATATATATAAATTTCACTGGGTATGCCACCAGTGGTCTTGCAGAACACCCCCATCTCTACAGTGAGCATTATAGTAGAATTAGCAAATGGTGTGGCTTTGAGGCAAAGCATATCTGACCAGGCAACACCCCCCACAGAATGGGATCCCATTATCAATGGTTAAAACTAGGGTTGCTGAAAATGAAAAACATAAATGAAAGGAAGTGATAAGTCAAAATAAAATGGATGTGTGTAGAATTACCACAAGATGGACGATATCCACCTGAAGAAGATACAGCCAGATCATGTAGATAATGATGACAAACGTACTGGGAATAGTCCACATTCCGACATGAACAATATCCTCCAAAGGGAGGCAAGGACGAGCAGCCAAAGACATGGTGATATAATGAATTTAACGAAAAGAAACGTTGTGGAGATGGCGACCCTCCATGGATAAGTCCGAATACACCAGATAACGAGTTGATGAACCCGACCAGTTAGCATGACAGAGGATAGATCAGTACTTGCTAAATAGCACCATAAGGAGTGAACTGGACAAAGAAGCAGATCAGGATCAGAATGAGAGTCTAGGTGGGAGATGAAAGATAAGGAAATGGGTGTGAAAACCAAATCACCTTCACAAGCAGGAAAGGTCTTTGGGAAGAAGGACTGGTTGGGACATAGGATGATATAATAGGAGTGGTAGAAGATGTGGGTAACATTAAAAGCATAAATATTTGATCGACAATGTCCATAAGCAAGGAGGAGAAGGTCTTGAGGGAGAGATGGTACATGGAACATGTAGATAAAGGTTCAAAGGGAGTGCAGAAAAAGCATAAAGGACCATGGTTGAGATTCCCAATCAGACAAATCAAAGAAACGTGGAGGATGCATGACTCAAAAGGAGTGAAAAAGGAAAAAAATGACAAAGGAAGACAAAACTTACAAAACGGACGGTGTCTGACAAGGCTGCCCAATAACTAGACACGGCTGAAATGGACAAGTCTTTGTCAAACAACCAGGTGAAGAATTGGGAAAGATGAGGAACAAAATGGTTGGAAGGATGGAAACCACGTCAAATAGACCAGAGGCAGAAGGTAGACCCTTGTCTTTGGTAAATGGAGATGGAAGAAGGTCTGATGTATCAGGAAAGAAAAGATCCAACATGTGGAGTCAGTCCTTAGGCTGAGGCAATGGAACTGTGAAAAGCCATGCATGAAGACTGAGTATGGTGATGTCTGGATGAACAATGTCTGACAGAGGCTGATGGAGTAAAGACTGAGACAGAGGTAAGAGTAAGGGAGTTTGTACAAGTGAAGGTTGGTGCCAGCCAATACAGAGCCACAAGTAGGAATAGACATGGAGGCATTTGGATCGGGGGATAGAACTCTGGAGAGGAGTCGAATAGGAGGGTAAGCATAGATGTGAAGCCTCCTCCAATCTTGACTAAACACATCCACCCCCAGAGTTGGTGGGTGTGGAACAGGAGACCAAAAGAAAGGAAGTTTGGTGATCCAGTGGGTGGTTAAAGCATTGATATGAAGTGTTCCCAGCTTAGAAAATACCCACCAAAATACCTGTGGATGGTGGGACCACTCCATGGGGAGAATCTTATTGGGTTGAGATAAATTATCTCCAATCAGATTTAAAGCACTAAGAACATGGCAAACTAAGACCACCATGTGGTGACTGTGAGTCCAGAAAAAGGAGATCCAGGGTGTGAAAGCACAGAGACCTGGATTTGGTTCCCCCTTGTTTGGTGATATAAGTGACCACTGTGGAGTTGTTGGAGTATACCATAACCACCACCACCACACCCCTCAGGAGAGGAAAAAAGTGGGACAAAGCTCAGTGAACCACCATAAGTTTGAGGATGTTGATATGAAGAGAAGTCTCCTCAACTAATCAGAAACTGGAAATCTCCTGAGAGTCAAGGTAATCACCCCAACCCTCTAAAGATGCATTTGTGAACAGATGTAAATCCAGAGAAGGAGGAGGAAGTGGAACCCTGACGTGGTCTGATCCCTGTCTAGCCACTAAGCCAGGTTGGCCCTGACTGGAGAAGGACGAGTAAAAGGTGGTCCAAGGGATCCGAGCAGAAGTTCCACTGAAAGGAATGCATATGAACTCAACCCATTGGAATGACAGCTTTCAAGGAAACCCACATCCCAAAAGAGATAAAACCTCTCAAGTTGTGAGAGAATGTGAGATGAAGGCCTTTTGGACTGCTTCCTCCAAATAGGAGAAGGCTGGGCCCAACTGAGGATGCACTTGAAGAAAACCTCCAAATGAACAAGGTACTAATTGTGGATAAGAACAGACTTTTCCACCTTTTTCAGGAAACTTACTCATGCTGCTTCTTGTATGAGCAGATGAGTGTGGTCTCCGAATTGTAAATGGGAAGAAGCAAGCAGGAGCCAGTCATCCATGTAATGATGAGTGCAAAGTCCTATCAAGTGAAAGTGTTAGGCAAAAGCTCTTACCACCCGACAAAACACATAAGGAGCTGAGGTTAGTCCAAATGGTAGGGCCCTAAACCGGAACACTTGATTTCTAGTTATAAATGATGTGGGTACTGTGGGGATGAACCATGAATTGTAGAGTATGAGGAGAAAAATTGGTTTCTAGTATCAAGAGTGTAGCAATGGAGCCAAAGCAAAGCTCAGCACTATGAACAGGAAAGAAACAAACAAATCATTGATGTAGCAATGCATAAAAATTAAGTCCTACACTGATGAAAATTCAAATTCTAAGACACATATTTAACAATGATGACAAAAAATTATTCATATAGAAGAATGATTTAGATG